ACAATATCGTTATTATCTCATCAGCTCAATCATCAACTTTAAATTTACAACTCAATTATCATAAATAATAAATATTAAATCTTTTAAGATAATTATAAATCTTAAGTGACAATTCGAATTGGTCAATAAAATTAGAATTGGTCAATAAAATTAGATAATGATATTTCTTTTTTATTTTTCCTTAGTTGTCTTACCCAATATATCATGAAAAGTAAAAAAGGGCAAAATAACTTTTTGTTGATTGTTTTCTAAATTCAAGTTATCTTCTTCTACATGTAAAGAAAGAATAAATCAATCAATGATAGAGTTAAACTATCTCCTACTAGATGATGCCATAAGCACAATGTTTATTAAGAAAACCTAATTTCTTTTTCTGTATTTTTTAATAAAAAATTAATAAATCATGATTTTCTCTTAATACTATAATCTATTTTTTAAGTTCAAGATTCAAAATACAGGTAACTTGATTATAAACTGGTGCCACTTGTATCAATATTTTAATTAAATTAAAGAAAAAAATTATTCTACTAATTCTCTCAATTAGGTCGTCACATTCAATTAACCCGCACACATTCTTAATGGTCACAATAACTGGCCTGATTTCCGGAAAATGGGTCCCTTTAAAAGCATATTTTTAAATTATAAATGGACATGTGTCCATCATGATCAAACTTTAACGATATAACGAACCAGATGCATTATGATTCAACGGAATTAAATTAGACAGAAAATGGCTTGATTATATTCCAATTAATTAAGACTTGAAGGTAGTAGTATTTTGAAAAAAAATTATTTTGCATGTTTGATATATTACGTTACATAAGGATTGGATGTTAATAAAATCATATATAAATATTACTATTTGGGATTGAGTGTCTACGTAATTGTTAAATGTCATGTCAATTATTGTACAAATATTTTTTAACAAATAAAATATTTAATGTCAATAACATACCTGCATTGGTTTTTTTTTTTTTTTAAATATTTATTAATGCTGTCAAAGAAAATATTAATGTTTAAGTCAATCTTAACACGACGCCACAAAAGGGAGGGATCATTTTCTCCGTTTCGAATGCAAAGTATCTTTGGAGGAGTAAAAGGGCAGCATCATCATTATACAAACTGAGCTTAAATTATTTTTAAAGTGCAACATCATTACCAGAATGATGGCTTCCATTAATTTTAAAGTGATAGTACAAATTAAGGACTAAACAACTTTTCGAGAGCATGCATGCTTTACTAGATTAATGAATTGCCCTCCACTTGTGGATTAAAGAATCTAAATGGTTCCAATTTTATGACCATATATATTGAAGACTTGGTTCTTTCAAGTAGTGATGTTCACAAAATCATCAAGAGTAAGCTATTATTGGATGTAGGATTCAACATAAAGGATCTTCGTGAGCTCAAAATTTTTTCCTTGGCCGTATACATTGAGATAAGGCATTTTCATTATCACAGAAAGTATTCCCTTGATCTCCTTCCACTACAACAAAATTTAGTATTACCGACAATTATTTAATGGCAATAAATTAATTGCTTCTATTCTATTATTTAATAAAAATATTAATGACTATTATATAATGGTCACTAAAAATGTATTTACATCACATCAAAATTTACTATTAGCGACAATTATTTGTTAGAAAAAACTTAAGTCCCACATCGACTAAAAATAAAATAATTAAAGAGTATATAAGTGAATGATAACTCTCACCTTACAAGAATGTTTTATAAGGTTGAGTTAGGCCTATAATTTACTATTCTAAGTTGGTATTTAGGAGATAAAATAATTAAAAAAAATTTAAAAATATATACTTAGAAGATAACCTTCATCTTCTAAGTCCCACATCAATTAGAAATAAGGTAACTAAAGAGTATTTGTACTCATCTTACAAGTCCTACATCGACTAGAAATAAGATAATTAAAGAGTATTATAAATCTTTTCTTAAACTTTTAGCGGCAATTTTAAATGTCAGTAACTAATATGTAAAATGCCGGTAAAAGAATTTGTAGCAATTTTTATTGTCACTAAAAGTTATATTAAATGCCACTAAAAGTTTATTTTATTATAGTGTTCTAGACATGTCAATGCTTATTACCAAACCCAATTATACTATGATGGATTGCAAAGCTAATCTTTCTATTACTTCATGTATGATTTATTATTTGGTATTAACATATATAATGTACTTATTGAACAATTACCACCATACACCATTGGCCCAATATTTCATATATATGTTGTGAGAACTAGTAGTTAGTTGATGTTATCCTTAACTCTAATTCATCTTCAGGTAGTTATTATAATTTATAAGATCCTACAATATGTCAAGGATTCCCCAGAGAAAGGACTATTCTTTCTTTTGTCTTCAAATACCCAACTCAAAGGATTTAGTGTACTCCAATTAAGGTTCTTGCTTGAATAAAAGGAAGTCTATTAATAACTTTTTCTTTTAATTTTTTAGGGTCTTATTTATCTCTTGGAAAAGCAAAAGACAAACTACAATGTCTAAGTCATCCTTTAATGTTGTGTGTATGACACTTGTTCAAATACGTCATTTATTTGCTCAAAAAAATAGATATATCTTGCTCATATAGAGCAATGCGATGCTAATGATAAAAAAAATAGAGTAATGTATATTGTGACAATCAATCTACACTTTACATAATTATAATTAGCTATTTGATCAATAAAAGAAACACACTAAATATTAATTGTTACATATTAGAGAGAGAGAAATAAATTAGTTATTTAAATTTTATTTGGATAAATTTATCCAAAAGTATTTCTATAAGAGAAAAATGAGAGAAAAATCAAAATAAATTTTTTCATAAGTTGAAATTAGCTTATACATATGATTTAGAATAATTTTTTTGGAGAAGCTGATATGAGAAAGTTTCTATTGACTTATGTATAAATTAATTTTAACTTATAATAAAATTTATTTCATTTTTCAATTGATAAGTAATTGAATTTAACATTATATATTCCCTACAAAGACAATATTAAGTGAATTTTGTATGATATGTTCATTAATAAATGAATTTTATTTGAGATATCCCTAATAATATTTAAGCACAAAATATATTAAAATAAGATTTATTTAAAACTATAAGAAAGATCAATTTTAAATTTAAGAAATAAAAATAACTATCTAATATTTAAAAATTAAAAACATTTATAAACCTTATAATAGTATATGAAGTTGCCATCATTGTCTTTCACGCTTTGATATTAAACCAGTTTAACTTTATAGTACTCTTCCCAACTTTTGCTTTTTTAATTCAATTGTTCACATCTACACTCTTAAAATTTCCGAAAGTCAAAAGGCCAACTGTACAAGAAAAATGTTTATTGCACGATACTTGGAAACATATCTTCACATCATGGTTAAGCAACATAAGTTTTAATTGAAATAAACTATTTAAAAATTAAATAATTGTCTATATATATGAACCTTAGCATCAATAATTCTAGGTTGTATAGTAACATGTCAATTTCTTTGTTGATTGAATCATGTTATTTTGCATGTGAAGCTACATGCAGTTTGAAAATGGTGTACACGATTGAAAATTTTATTAATACTTAGAATGAATTAAATAACATTTTTGGATTGCATAAGGATGTAAAATGGGGATTTTCTTCATTCATATTGAATCATTTTCTAAGAAGTGGTTCACAAGAACCACAGGAAAAAAAGTATAAAGAAGTTTACCTGGTACAAAGTTTGTAGATTATCATTTTCAAAGAGAAGCATGTTAAGAAAAGAAATTTTAAAAAAAATATACTAAAGTTAATGCTTTTTAGGTAATTTTTCTGTTCTTGTTCCTATCCAAGCAAGGGGGAAAAAATCTTAATTTTAGAACTCCAAATGAGATAACTCTGAGGGTTTCTGAATGAAGAAAATTATTGTCATCTTTAACATCCATTTTAAGGCGAAATTAGACAATCATTTATATCATAATAAGTGACATTAATTTGGAGAGATTTGGTCAGTGTATCAGATAATTAAAATTAGATTAATTAAATAGAAAAATGTTGTTTCTTTTATCATCAATTATAATGAAAATAAATTAATAATTTTATAGCTAACTATTATGAAAAAAAATTATTTCCACATATAAAGATAAAATGTTTCACTCCTATTTCTTTACAAATTAATACATTTTAAAAATTGTACTAACTAAATACTATAAATAAATTATTAATTTTTATATCAGAATTCATAGTTCATAATTTTTGGATTAAAGACCATATTAATTGTATTTTGTTTTTTTATATATTAAACATGATTTTATTATTATTACTTTACATTTTTTAAAATTATTAACTCAATTAATTTTATTTTGTCATTTTTTCTTATCTATGAGATATAATTATTTTTATATTTTTTTTCTTCTAAAAGTTTTCTTTCCTTCATAAATATCAACTAATTGTATTATTAACTTAAATTATATTCAAAATTTACTTTTTTCTCTTTGTAAATTGAAATTATTTTCATTTTGATAATTTATTACGTGTAACTATAGATATTTCTCTTGGTTATAAATAAAATTTTATTTTTACTTTTAAATAGAATTTTTAAAATACAAGTATAAATGAATTTTATCTATAAATAATTAAATGCGACAAATTTTGTTAATTTTTAATTATAATCATTACTTTTAAAAATTATATCTACAATGATATTTCATTAATTAATCATTGATAATGTATGAAAATTAATTTTTTTATATATTATATAAATTAAAAAAAAATTTAATGGTAAAGAATTTGGATAATTTACATAAAACTTTTTTATGTTTAGATGTGATTGTAGACACTGTCCACCGATTTTAATTTGTTAACTGAAATAAAATGTCTTGGTCAAGAACTTTATGGCAGAAAGTTTGGAAGAAAAAAATATCTGCAATATTTGCTGTTACTTTTAATTATATAAAGAATATAAAATAATAATTTTTTAAAAATGAATTTTTAATATTTTATTTGTTTTCAACGTGGGGAAGAAGAAAGACGCGAGGGAGAGAGAGAGAGAGATAGCGCGTTTTGGTGTTACAAACAGAGCATCGATCGGAAAAAAGCCACATAGAAGAGAATGGCCACACAAGCGCAAGATCCGCCTTCAAACCCTAACCCTAATTCCAATGCCACGTCAGCAACGCCATCTTCTTCCTTTTATATGCGCTCCGCCGCCGGTAACGCCATTTCCGCCGCTCCCATCGCCGGCTCCGGCGAGCACTCGCACCACCGCAGGGCGCACTCCGAGGTCAATTTCCGGCTGCCGGACGACATAATGGACCTGTCGCCGTCGGATCCGTTCAACGGCGGATCCTCCACGGCGAGCTTCGAGGAGATCGGATCCGAGGACGACCTCTTCTCCACCTACATTGACGTCGAGAAGCTCGGCGGCGGCGCCAACGGCGGCGCTCGCGGCGGAAACGGATCGGATCAGTGCGGTTACGGAAACGGCGCTGGTACGAGCGGCCACAACGACGGCGAGAAGAGTCCGAGCGCGCGGCCGAGACACCGGCACAGTAGCTCCGTCGACGGTTCCACGTCGACGAGCATGTTCGGAGAGATCATGGAGGCGAAGAAAGCCATGCCTCCTGATAAGCTCGCGGAGCTTTGGAACATTGATCCCAAGCGTGCCAAGAGGTCTCGTCTTTCATCCTTCACTGAATTTGTTTTCGTTCACAGTGCATCGAGTTTTTGCTGTTCGATTTTGGTTTCGGAATCTGAATGCGATGGTTTAACGTTCTTGTCACGTCAATGCAATGGTTTAACATTTATGGTTAACTATTTAATTATTTTTTCTGTATGGGTTTTCAGAATTTCGCATTGCTACATGGAAGGAAGTCACAGATTTGTTATTTATTTATTTATGTATAATTTTTTTGATTATTTAATTTCCTATTTAACAATGAAAATGAGGGTTGGCTTGTAAATGTAATTAGCTGATGTTCGACTTTTTCGGACTCTTTTGACATTGATGTGGGAATCTTATGTTTGACATTGATTTTTGATTCATATTACATGATCTTTCAATTGATAGTGGCATTGATACACTACTTGGTCACTTAATTGTATAAGTTAGTTGAAAATTGCTCCTTAATGAGATCCTGGTGTTTGGGAAGTGATTGAATTTTTCAATAGACAGTGAGAGGGTTTCACGCTTCCATTGCATGTCAATTACAAAATTGTAAGAAAGCATGATTAATGGTGGTGCATTAGAGATCGCATGATCAGTCCGGAGAGTTTCAAAACTGCAATATAATTGCAATTTCTGATTGCTTTTTAAAACCATCTTCAATTCAGAATCTTCGGGTTTTCTGTAAATTATGCTTAATCTATTGGCATTATAATGGTTATGTAAAGGGATGCATCATAATTTCTGAATAAGCAGAGAGACCACGAAGAATCTTCATTTATAGTGTATGTTATTTTGGTAGTTGTTTCAGTCTGTATGAATAATAATTCTAGAACTGCTGTGGGATTGTAATTTCTAACAGCTATGCGTGCTTGTTGAATGCTTGAGCATTTGAAACTGCTTTCTAGCATATATATTTTTTAATTTTCAGTACTTGTGTTTCAGTAGTTGCTATGGATATTTGTTAATTATCATTCTCAATAAGTATTATTGTTAATGTATAGAATACTGGCTAATCGGCAATCTGCTGCGCGTTCAAAAGAAAGAAAGGCACGCTATATACAAGAACTTGAGCGCAAAGTTCAGACCCTTCAGACTGAAGCCACAACACTTTCTGCCCAACTCACTTTGTACCAGGTTTGTGTTGAGTTTTATCTAAAAGCATTTTAGTATTTTATATCCTCTCTGTAAATGTTATTGTATAGACGTGAAAAACCAGAAATTCCTTTGTACAATAGCTTTTTGTTTATTGGCGCTACATTTTATTCATTTATTGGCTTCATATTTATGCCAGAAATCTCTAAGAAATTGATTGAGCTGGGTTCTAGTATATACTACTGCAATTTCTTTCATTTTTCTGCTTATGATTATTGTCTGACGATTCTTATAAAATTACGTTATTTCCCGCTAATATTTCTTCAACCTTTTTGTAAGCATATTTTCTCACTAGCTTCTCAAACAACGCATTTAAATTATAACATGAAAAATATCTTCATTGGTATTACTTTAATGACAAATATCACATTTAGATAATTAGATGCACTCTTATTTTTTTCTTCACGAATTCCTTTCCTCTTTTTTATTTATTTTTTATTTTTACAGAAATATCTATATATCATAATAGGCTAGTGATTTAATTTTTCAAATTACCTTGGTAATTCTTGCTACACTTGTTTGTTTTTCGTTAAACTTCTCCATTATTTGACTTGAGTTGTAATGCATAAACATGTGGCTAAATAAGGAATGATTTATACCACTTCTTGATTTTTTATAGAGGGATACAACTGGTCTAAGTTCTGAAAATACCGAGCTTAAGCTTCGTCTACAAGCCATGGAACAACAAGCACAGCTTCGTGATGGTAACAGTCGATTACTTTCTTTTGATACATTAGCATGCATATTTTACATTTTTTACACGTGTTTAAAAAATATTTTGTTAAGGTGATTAATTAATTAAGAATTTACCTATGATCTGTTGTATATTGTAGCCCTTAATGATGCATTGATGAAGGAAGTTGAGAGGCTTAAGATTGCTACTGGCGAGGCATTGAACCACTCCGAGTCTTTCAATCTAGGAATGCACCAAATGCCATTTCCAGGGTCAACTTTCTTTTCAATCCCGCCACATTCAGGTCCTCCTGGTCACCAGAACATTCAGTTGCCTCCATTTGGCCACTCCCCAAGTAGCGTGTCAACTCATCAGCTGCAACAAACAAATTCTCACCAAATCTCAGATATATTGCAAAACGACCAACTTGGTCGTTTGCAGGGACTTGACATTAGTAGCAAAGGATCACCCATGGTGAAGTCTGAAGGCCCCTCAATATCTGCAAACGAGAGTAGCTCTACATTTTGAATTTGAATTTGACCTAAATTGCTTGACCTTCTGACTTCCTCCGTGGCATTCCCTTCTCTTCAATTGTCTATAGTGTTGACATGTAGTCTAAAGAAGGTGCTCTGTTTCATTAAATAGTCCTTTCAGATTAAGGGTTAATTATTAATTGTTTATTCTTAGGGATGGTCCCCAAAAAGGGGAAGCACCCTTGGGGTTTTGTCGCAAAAGTTCACGCAGTCATCTTGAAGCGTGGCGTTTTGGTGTTTGTGGGTTTTAGATCAGTGGGAATGAAAGGTCATTCTCACGATATCTTTCTTTGTGGGGGATCTTTATCGATGCCGCTTCGGTCATTTGTATCATCATTTACGTGATAACTTGTAAACTGTGATTTGTTGTTGTGTTTCATTTCAAGGATTTGTAAGATGAATTATCAAAAACAAGAAAAAGCACGTGTAAGATGGACTTTTATAAAATGTCTTATTATTGTAGTTTTAGATTTATTCATAAAGGAGTTTTGGACACAGGACATGTATTATTATTTTTTATAATTATATTATTAGTACAAAATATATTTTGTGACTAATTTTATTAAAAAATTTATCTAATCATTTTTAGTAAATTATTTTTAATGATAAATTTTTTATTTAGTAAAATCTTTATATTGAAATCTTATATAATTAAACAGAATCTATTAGCTTGAACCAATGATTTATTTGTACCGAGGCATGTATTCTTATGCTTCTCAGATCAGGTATTTATGAATAGCTATCATGACTTAACTGAATGTATCTGACTGTTGTAAATTTATAATAACTATTGTGGGGGACTGCATCAATGATTCATCAATTTGTGGATAAGGTTGGAAATGTCCTCCACGTATTTTGATTTTGGCTTTGGTAACAGCTGCTGTCCTTTGTCGTAAGTTTTGGTGATAAGAACGACAATCGCCCGTTCTCGTCGTGCCATCTGTTTTCAACCTTTTAACTCTTTCTCTCTCTAATTTCTACCTACTTTTTGTCTTACAACACATCAATAATCAAAATCTGCTAGGCTGGTCCCCAAACTCTGAAAAGATAAAGGCATATTTGTGTTATTATTTAGCTGTCTTGTCTTAGGTGACCAAGACCCTATACACTATAGTGGAAGTAAACTGCCACCCGAGACGAATTTTAGACACAAGAACAATAATAAAATAAAAAATAAAAAATAAATTAATAAAAAAATTATTTACCAAACTAAATAATTTTAGATAGGTCAGACGTGGAAGAAAGAAGAAAACGTCATAATAAGTAGGGGGTGAGCAACGGGTGAATTTGGTCGGATTCGGGTGAAAAATGTCCAACCCATTGTAAACCGACTTTGAAAAAATGTAACCCATATCCGACCGACTGAGCTTTCGATTTGAGGCGGTTCAGGTTAAAACGGATTCGGATTTAAGAGGGTGGATATAATCGGGTTTGAATTTTTTTGTAAACCAATTTATCTTAAGAAAGATGATGCTTAAAACGATAAAAAATATTTTTAAAATAGTGTATAAAAATAGAATGAAGGTGACAATAGATGGTGTAAGTAGATTCGTAGTTGAAACATTTACAAACTAAAGAAGCAAAAATAAAAGATAACAAAATTCATAGTTGTTACATGGAAAAGAAATATAAAGTTAGATTACAAAATCATAAGAAATCACAGTCACACAAAATGTACTCAAAATGGAGATAAGAAGATGGAAAAGAAAGACAAAGAAAGAAGCAAAAAGATAACTCTAAAAATGGACTAGTGTGTTGAGAAGTTGAATGAGGAAGGAGAAGACAAAATAAATATCTAAGTTATGAGAAAAAGGAAAAAAATAAGTTACAAATTGATGGCTATATTATACTTGAAATAAAGACTTTTAAGTTTGGACCATTGTTGTTTAGTTATACAAAAGTAATAAAAATTTAAACTTATCTCATTTTCGGTTGGGTTCGGTTTTTGGCGGGTTTAAAAATTCAAAACCGAACCCGCCCAATATAACCCGTATAAAATCAAAATTTTAACCCGATTTACCCATAAGACCCGCCCGAACCCACCCAAAAACAATATTTTTTATCGGGTTTTTCGGGTTCGGTTCGGGTGTCGGTTTAATGCTCACCCCTAACCCCTAATAATAAGTGACAATTTATAAAAAATGTCACTCTGAGTGTCACGTTGACACTATTCATCATAGAAAATGTCACTGGTACTGATGTTTCTGTTCATCACAGAAAGCAACAGAAAATGTAAGTATCAATGACGTTTTCTGTTCATCAACAAAAAGTAACACAAAACGTCATTGGTACTGACGTTTTATGTTTAAATCTGACTCCTCTCGGACTCTGAAACACAGTACACGTATCAGAAAAATGCACTCTTTCATTAATCTATTTGATGATTTTTTCCTCTTTTATTAGAGAAATGTTTTGCACACCCAAAACATTCTCGAGTCACTGAGCCATTGTTGTAAGTTTGATAACCCTATTTCAAACATGTTCATATCATCTAATAGTATAATTATATCCTGTCTGCAGATTGGGATTTCCCATTCCATCATGCATACTTTGTATCATTAAACAATACACAACCTTAAAAAAAAGTATTAGGTACTAAATATGGTACGTATAACCATTTCTCTTCTCCCAACATGCTAGTGCAATCCTATAGGCGCCGGGGAAATTATAAAAGAGTTGAGCAAGAAAGAACATTTTCAAGAAACTATATCAGTTAAACATCTAGTAGGCAAAAAAAAAATACAAACTTATCCTCTCTGAGAGTAAATCACTCAGATAAGAAAAACACACTAGTTTTTTTATTAATTTATTTGTGTATGAGAAATCAAAACCCAGAAGTATACATCACACTGGAAGAAAGAAATAATTTTGCTAAATTGACATCATACTCTACACGAGACAGTAAATTAAAATCCCATAAAGGGACTAATTCAAGTGCAAATTTTGAAATCATTAACAATCAACGACTATAAAAATGAAGATTAAGGACATTGGTTGTATAGGGTAAAAATTTGCTGAGTAGGAAAATTAGGGTTCACGAATAGCAATGACAATTGACGAAGGTTGTCCTTCAGTGAGCCTTTCTCCTCTGGCGCATTGCTTCTGGGTGGCTAATCTATAAATCCAATATACCTGTTGAATAATAAAGAGTACGTGTGTTTCAGAGTCCAATAAGAGTCAGATTCAAACACAAAACTCAGTACCAGTGACGTTTTGTGTTGTTTTTTGTTGATGAACAAAAAACTTCACTTCTGTTGCTTTTTGAAATGAACAGAAAATGTTAGTACCAGTGACGTTTTCTGCGATGAACAGTGTCAACACGTCACTTAGAATGACATGCACTCAGAATGACATTTTTCACAAATCCTTACTTACTCTGACGTTTTTTTCTTTTTTCTTATTTAGTTTGGTAAATAGTTTTTTTTATTAATTTATTTTAGAAATTTTTATTTATTTTTTATTTATTATGGTTCTTCTACCGGAATTTTACTTGGAATATTAATGAAGTCCCATTTTACCCTCAACTCAGAATTTGGTAATATAAATGAGGGTCGTGAGAAAATAAAAATCTTAAGAGATGGGCTTTTTGTTATTGTTAAGGGTAGGTCCAAAGAACACCCCATCTCCCCCTTTGAAAAAATTTGAGTGACGCCGGTTGGGAATTTTAATTGATTTTGTTTTCTGATGAATTGGCCTGTCAAAAAAATAAAATAACAATTGATGGATATTTTTTCATGAGACAATCCTATTTATAAACGTTAAACGAATTGAAAAGTTAAATCTATATTTTAATGATACTTGTTGGTGACCATGGTACTTGGTACATTCTTAACCAATTTTTGTCTTATTGATGCAGACTTTTTCAGATACTTGCACCTCAATTCTCAGGATGCTTACAAGTTATACGTACGCGAGTTCAATGGGTAACCCTGGCATGGCAGGATATGGACATATGGTGGCAGTTCACTCTTTCCATATATATGATTCTGCCCACCACATGAATACTTATTATGCAGCCCTATGAAATATATGACCAATAAGCCAAAATCAATCTTTAAATTCCAATTTTTAATCGAAAATTTAAGATCAAAATGATTCCAATGATGATCAATCACAAAAAAACATTAAGAGCAAACTTAGAAAATGATTAGGATATGAAATTAATAAAAAGAAATTGATAAGACATAAATATGTTTTTTAATCTATGTAATTTTAAAAAAATTATTTTAATTTTATATTAAAATTTTATTAAAAATTTTATTAAATATTATTACATAAAATTTATTTATTAATATTTCTGTTACTGTTAATAAAAAAATCACATTAAATTCAATTAATATTACATAATTATCTTAATTTATTATTTTCAAATATATTATTAGTGACTTAAAAGATTAAAATAAGATATTTGAAAATTATAAATATTATAAATAATGATTTTAAATTTAAGAAATAAAAATAAATTTATCTTAAATTTAAAGAATTAAAAATATATTTAAACTAATTGATGAGATTAAAATTAAAATTATCCTTACGTTATCCAAATGAGATTATAACACTAATAAACAATAAAACAGAAATTATAGGGTGAGATAGACATTCAATCTTCAAGAAATTGTTCCCAATACATCAATCTCCATTGATCCAAGTGAAAGCACTTTTTTATTTTGTACCTTCCACCGAAAGCTCTTTTTCTTTCTCTGAAATCTTGTATTTGTAGATAAGCATCAAGCAAATACTTACCGAGCACATTCATAGTCACCCGTTAGTGTTCGGAACAAAGTAAATGGATACTTTGTATCGAAAAGAAGGTTACTCAAAAAAGGTTATCAGCAAATAGGGGTGTTCATGGATCGGTTTTTCCAAAAAACCGATTCAAATCGAACCGAACCGTTTTATAAAAGTGGATCGGTTAACCGATCCATTTTTTATAAAGTGGATCGGTTTGATTTTTTTAAAATATGGATCAGTTTTTTTGAAATTGGATCGGTTCGGTGCGGTGCAATTATCCACTTTTTTACTCATATATGAATCGGTTTTTTTAGAAAACCAAACCGAACCGAACCGATCCACTTTGTAAAAATGGATCGGATAACTGAACCGGTTTTATAAAGTGGTTCGGTTCGGATTTTTTCAAAATGGATCGGATTTTTCAATATGGATCGGATCGGTTATGGATCGGTTCGGATCAATTTGGATTTTTTGCACACCCCTATCAGCAAATTCGCACATTTTCAACCTTTTTAATATTAATGTGTTAGATATTAATAAAATATACGGTTTGGAATTTTATTAAAAGCAATGTTTTCGAAATTGTACTTCAATAATCAATCAAGGTACTAATTCAAGCTCTAAGATTTAACGCGACTGCATACATAAGACAGGATTTGAATCTCTGACCTTACTTAAACGAAAATCAACTATGCTTGGAATTACTAATTCAAGGTTTAAATTATAATAAAACATATATTAAT